TGGTGACATAAACCTGGAACTAAAAATTGATGACATAAGACTGGCACTATATTGGTGACATAAACCTGGAAATAAAATGATGCCATAAGCCTGGCACTATATTTGTGACATCAGCCGAGCACTATATTGGTGACATAAGCCTGGCACTATATTGGTGACATCAGCCGAGCACTAAAATGATGCCATAAGCCTGGCCCTATATTGGTGACATCAGCCGAGCACTAAAATGATGCCATAAGCCTGGCACTATATTGGTGACATCAGCCGAGCACTATATTGGCGACATAAGCCTGGCACTATATTGATGACATAAACCTGGCACTATATTGGTGACATCAGCCGAGCACTAAAATGATGCCATAAGCCTGGCACTATATTGGTGACATCAGCCGAGCACTATATTTGTGACATAAGCCTGGCACTAAAATGATGACATAAGCTTGGCACTTTATTGGTGACATAAGACTGGCACTAAAATGATGACATAAGCCTGGCACTATATTGGTGACATAAGCCTGGCACAATATTGGTGACATCAGCCGAGCACTTAAATGATGCCATAAGCCTGGCACTATATTGGTGACATCAGCAGAGCACTATATTGGTGACATAAGCCTGGCACTATATTGATGACATAAACCTGGCACTAAAATGATGACATAAGCCTGGCACTATATTGGTGACATCAGCCGAGCACTTAAATGATGCCATAAGCCTGGCACTATATTGGTGACATCAGCAGAGCACTATATTGGTGACATAAGCCTGGCACTATATTGATGACATAAACCTGGCACTATATTGGTGACATAAGCCTGGCACTCAAATGATGCCATAAGCCTGGCACTATATTGATGACATAAACCTAGCACTATATTGGTGACATAAGCCTGGCACTAGAATGATGCAATAAGACCTGGCACTATATTGGTGACATAAAGCCTGGCACTATATTGGTGACATAAGCCTGGCACTATATTGGTGACATAAGCCTGGCACTAAAATGATGCAATAAGACTGGCACTATATTGGTGACATAAGCCTGGCACTATATTGGTGACATAAGCCTGGCACTATATTGGTGACATAAGCCTGGCAACTAAAATGATGACATAAGCCTGGCACTATATTGGTGACATAAGCCTGGCAGCACTATATTTGGTGACATAAGCCTGGCTATGATATAATGGTGACATAAGCCTGGCACTATATTGGTGACATAAGCCTGGCACTAAAATGATGACATAAGCCTGGCACTATATTGGTAACATAAACGTGGCACTAAAATGATGACATAAGCCTGGCACTATATTGGTGACATAAGACTGGCACTATATTGGTGACATAAGCCTGGCACTATATTGGTGACATAAGACTGGCACTATATTGGTGACATAAGCCTGGCACTATATTGGTGACATAAGCCTGGCACTAAAATGATGCCATAAGCCTGGCACTATATTGGTGACATCAGCCTGAGCACTAAAATGATGCCATAAGCCTGGCACTATATTGGTGACATCAGCTGAGCACTATATTGGTGACATAAGCCTGGCACTATATTGATGACATAAACCTGGCACTATATTGGTGACATAAGCCTGGCACTATATTGGTGACATAAGCCTGGCACTATATTGGTGACTTAAACATGGAACTAAAATGATGACATAAGCCTGGCACTATATTGATGACATAAACCTGGCACTATATTGGTGACAAAAGCCTGGCACTATATTGATGACATAAACCTGGCACTATTTTAGTGACATAAACATGGAACTAAAATGATGACATAAGCCTGGCACTATATTGGTGACATAAGCCTGGCACTTAAATGATGCCATAAGCCTGGCACTATATTGGTGACATAAAACTGGAACTAAAATGATGACATAAGACTGGCACTATATTGGAAACATAAGACTGGCACTATGTTGGTGACATAAGCCTGGCACTATATTGGTGACATAAGCCTGGTACTATATTGGTGACATAAGCCTAGCACTATATTGGTGACATCAGCCGAGCACTAAAATGATGCCATAAGCCTGGCACTATATTGGTGACATCAGCCGAGCACTAAAATGATGCCATAAGCCTGGCACTATATTGGTGACATCAGCCGAGCACTATATTGGTGACATAAGCCTGGCACTATATTGATGACATAAACCTGGCACTATATTGGTGACATAAGCCTGGCACTATATTGGTGACATAAGCCTGGCACTATATTGGTGACTTAAACATGGAACTAAAACGATGACATAAGCCTGGCACTATATTGATGACATAAACTTGGCACTATATTGGTGACATAAGCCTGGCACTATATTGATGACATAAACCTGGCACTATATTAGTGACATAAACATGGAACTAAAATGATGACATAAGCCTGGCACTATATTGGTGACATAAGCCTGGCACTTAAATGATGCCATAAGCCTGGCACTGTATTGGTGACATAAACCTGGAACTAAAATGATGACATAAGACTGGCACTATATTGGAAACATAAGACTGGCACTATGTTGGTGACATAAGCCTGGCACTATATTGGTGACATAAGCCTGGCACTATATTGGTGACATAAGCCTGGCACTATATTGATGACATAAACCTGGCACTATATTGGTGACATCAGCCGAGCACTATATTGGTGACATAAGCCTGGCACTATATTGATGACATAAACCTGGCACTATATTGGTGACATAAGCCTGGCACTATATTGGCGACATAAGCCTGGCACTATATTGGTGACTTAAACATGAAACTAAAATGATGCCATAAGCCTGGCACTATATTGGTGACATAAACCTGGAACTAAAATGATGACATAAGACTGACACTATATTGGAAACATAAGCCTGGCACTATGTTGGTGACATAAGCCTGGCACTATATTGGTGACATAAGCCTGGCACTATATTGGTGACATAAGCCTGGCACTATATTGATGACATAAACCTGGCACTATATTGGTGACATCAGCCGAGCACTATATTGGTGACATAAGCCTGGCACTATATTGATGACATAAACCTGGCACTATATTGGTGACATAAGCCTGGCACTATATTGGTGACATAAGCCTGGCACTATATTGGTGACTTAAACATGGAACTAAAATGATGACATAAGCCTGGCACTATATTGATGCCATAAGCCTGGCACTATATTGGTGACATAAACCTGGAACTAAAATGATGACATAAGACTGGCACTATATTGGAAACATAAGACTGGCACTATGTTGGTGACATAAGCCTGGCACTATATTGGTGACATAAGCCTGGCACTATATTGGTGACATAAAGCCTGGCACTATATTGATGACATAAACCTGGCACTATATTGGTGACATCAGCCGAGCACTAAAATGATGCCATAAGCCTGGCGCTATATTGGTGACATAAGACTGGCACTATGTTGGTGACATAAGCCTGGCACTATATTGGTGACATAAGCCTGGCACTATATTGGTGACATAAGCCTGGCACTATATTGGTGACATAAACATGGAACTAAAATGATGACATAAGACTGGCACTAAAATGATGACATAAGACTGGCACTATATTGGTGACATAAACCTGGAACTAAAATGATGACATAAGCCTGGCACTATATTGGTGACATAAGACTGGCACTATATTGGTGACATAAACCTGGCACTATATTGGTGACATAAGCCTGGAACTATATTGGTGACATAAACCTCGAACTAAAATGATGACATAAGCCTGGCACTATATTGGTGACATAAGCCTGGCACTAAAATGATGACATAAGACTGGCACTATATTGGTGACATAAGACTGGCACTATGTTGGTGACATAAGCCTGGCACTAAAATGATGACATAAGACTGGCACTATATTGGTGACATAAGACTGGCACTATGTTGGTGACATAAGCCTGGCACTAAATGATGACATAAGCCTGGCACTATATTGGTAACATAAACGTGGCACTAAAATGATGACAAAAGACTGGCACTATATTGGTGACATAAGACTGGCACTATATTGGTGACATAAGCCTGGCACTATATTGGTGACATAAGACTGGCACTATATTGGTGACATAAGCCTGGCACTATATTGGTGACATAAGCCTGGCACTAAAATGATGACATAAGACTGGCACTATATTGGTGACATAAACCTGGCACTAAAATGATGACATAAGACTGGCACTATATTGGTGACATAAACCTGGAACTAAAATGATGACATAAGCCTGGCACTATATTGGTGACATAAGACTGGCACTATATTGGTGACATAAGCATGGCACTATATTGGTGACATAAGCCTGGCACTATATTGGTGACATAAGACTGGCACTATGCTGGTGACATAAGCCTGGCACTATATTGGTGACATAAACCTGGCACTATATTGGTGACATTAGCCAAGCACTACATTGGTGACATAAGACTGGCACCAAAATGATGACATAAGCCTGACACTATATTGGTGACATAAATCTGGCACTAAAATGATGACATAATCCAGGCGCTATATTGGTGACATAAGACTGGCACTAAAATGATGCCATAAGCCTGGCGCTATATTGGTGACATAAACCTGGTTCTAAAATGATCACATAAGCAGAGCACTATATTGGTGACATAAGCCTGGCACTATATTGAAGACATAAGCCGAGCACTAAAATGATGACATAAGCAGAGCACTATTCAGGTGACATTAGTCTGGCACTATTCTGTTGGCATATGTCTGACTTTAAACTGGCAACATAAGCCTGGCTTAACAATCCTGGTGCAACAACTTGACATTATTGCAGCTTAGTGTTCAAAATGTTAATTTTTTATCATCTAGGTGTCTCTATATATAAAGAAGTAATCAATCTTACTAAAAGTCTTATAAATATTGTGCTATTTGTGAACTCTCTTCTTTTGTAGTTCCTGCCCTATATGGTAAGCATAAACAAACAAAATTATCTAAGTATTTAATATGTTCTCTTACCTTTACACATTTCTGTCTTTTTCTCAATATCTTCTTGTCTGTAAACATGATAAAAAAAAGAAATATAGAATTGGTTGAGCAAAGATTTTTTTCTCAGGCGACTGTGTATTAAATACCATGCATGGAAGTGAAGGATAAATAAGTGAAGAGTAAATAATAATTCATAGATTTAAAAAAAAATTCTGAGAATTGGCCCTTGCAAATACCAAGTACAGTCCATGTGAATACTAGAAAGTCATCCAAAGATTTGTAAGTCATGTGATGATCCCTCTATAGGTTAATTAATATAGAAGTTCATTAAGGTTTTCTATACTTTGATTAGGCTGTCATGACTAGTGGCTCATAAGAAAGGTGAACTGATTCTGTACAGTGCTATCATTTTTATTACAGTCTCTTAAAAAAAACAATTTATTCTTACTGTTTTCTGACTGACCTTTGATTTTATTGCCAACATAAAACTAAGTTTGAAAAAGAAAAGTCAATACACAATTTATTTTCCACAATTCCATCTTTTTGGCGCAGGGGGGGGGTACACAACTGATACTATTGGGATAATGTAGGAGAAGTTCTTCATACAAAAGACACCCTATAATCACTAACAGATCATTGAAACTTAAAGTGGCAAAGCAGATTGATAAAGAACTGTGAGCTAAAACAAAAGTAAAAACTCTAAATCAAGGAATCAAAGGTTATAATCAATTAGAGACTTCATTTAAAGTCAATATAATTACAGTGACAAAACTCACATATACTGTTGATGTCAGAATGTCTCAGATCTTGCATCCCAAAGAAAATTTATTCACTAACACAGTGCCATGTCTGTTTATGGTTGTGTTCTTTACCAAACTTTGAAATCATTTATCAAAGCACACAGGTGTGTTTAAGCAAATGTCACACATTTGCCAACTTACCAACACAAACTGTTCAAATAGTAAATTTTACTTAAGTTGTCTTAAAGCTGCCAACCTAATAAAAAAAAAAACTATTAAAGCAGACGACACAAAATAATAAGAAACAAGCTGCAGACGAAACAATGACAACCTTTTCTATCTCATCTGTATCATAGAGTAATCTATTCCAGTAAAACTCTTTCTTTTTTTCTGGACTTGAATTACATATAGGGGGATATAAATTAAGTCTATAATACTCAAGATATATGAATAATGTCTGTATTTATTATACACATAAACTAATATTGAAAATTGTACTTGTTTTTCAGACACAAATCATTTTAATATTCATTACTGTATAATTTTACAAATGTAAATGGTTGGATTAAGTTTGAATAATTTATTCAAAACAATAGGTCCATGTATTGATCACCTTAACTTTTATACCAGCATATCAAAATGCCTAACTTGAATTTAAATTAACAAAATGCTTAATATTTCATTTTAATACTCTGGACTAAATCAATTTAAGGGGAAAATTTCAATTAACCATTGACTAAAACAGCAAACAGTGCAGAACATAATTTATCTGACAGCATGGATGTGTACGATGATCTTGGTCAGCACAGGTTGCATGGTTAGACTGTGCGGCCACAGACCACAGGCAAACTAATGATTCAGACAGTGTTTGGGAAAGGAATATCCAATATGTTAGTTATATTATCTTAGTTGGATTGGGTAACAATCTATTACATACTCCCCATATCATTCATATCTAGAAGCAACCATTACCAAGCAATGTAAAGTTTCTTGCTCTAGGAAACAACAGCTTGCCACTTACAGGGTTTGAACCCACAAAGCTAGCTATCCTTGCCATATTGCCAATATTAGATGTTTGTCCAAGAAGTGTAAGGGTTTTAATTTTTATAATAATGGGCTTATAAAGGAACCCCACTGAGGTATTTTGACATGTCAGGACTGCAAATATTTTTCTGAGATTTCTATCCCAATTGATGTAGGTGCGGACAAATAACTTGTGTGAAATTTTCAGGTAATTCTCTCACCCTACTTTTCCAGGATAATCATTTTTAGCTCGACTATTCAATAAGAATAAGTAGAGCTATTGTAGTCTGTGACCCTAGCGTCGGCCTCGGTTTCAGCATAACCACTTATGTTAAAGTTTTTGTAATACCTCATATATTTTCAAAGTCCATATTGACATATAGCTTTGAAACTGTGCACACTTGTTCACCATCATGACCCCAACCTGTAGACAGGAATAGGTATCTGTATCAAGCATTTTGACAGAATTATGTCCCTTTTTCGACTTAGAATTTACGTTAAAGTTTGCATAACACCTCAGACATCTGGCTTTGAAACAAGTTGAAATTTTATACTTTTCTTTGAGAGCATAATTATAGAACTCTCTTCAAGGCCTATAACTTTAACATGGATTTAAAATTTTTTGCTCTTTTGTAAATTTAGAAAATTTTACATTATAAAGGCTTTTTAATTATTAAGCACTAAGAATAGTCGAGCGTTGCTGTCCTACCGACTGCTCTTGTTATTGTGTAAACTGACCCAAAAACGAAAAGTATTTCACAAATGCTTTTTACTCAAATATGGCTAAGAATTGCACAATAACAGGATGGTGCTCCTTTAAGAGTGGCCAAAAACATTGCTCCTTTAAGAGTGACTAAAAAAGTTTTTCCAAAAAACTGGAGAGATCACTCTAAATGAAGTATGCTTTTAGACATGTTTGCATAATAATTAACAATCTATTATACCAGATGTTAAAGTTCTCAAAATATATTTCTATTCTCGGTTCTGACAGCTTCTAAAAGAGGCCAATTTAGAACACAGTATTTCTGAAAGTTTAATAAATAATCATCCAAGAAATTATATACCATTTTAGTTTGGTGAGGGTCAGCCTATTCAAAAGTTTAAGAGAAGTATTATTCAGAAAATCTTTTCTCTCAAATAAATTGCTTTTTCTATGTAATTTTGAAGGTGAAAAGAGTAATTTTAAACAAAATCAGACCAAGTTACCATCTATGGTGACTATATATTGATGGCAAAGGCTTGTCACTTTTGAAGACTGACATTTGAATGTAATTATTCATGGATGCTTGTATTATAAGAGTGTAAGATGATCATCATAATAACAACAACAAATATTTTAGCCTAAGCCAGTACAGTTCTCAAAGATATGACCAGCTCTATGCCACGTACCAAACCAAATTTCCCTACATAAGCATCAACTTTCTACCAGTATTTTATCTTAATCATAATGCCAAACATGCTATTTGATTCCATGTATTTGGATATTTATCTAGATAATGAATTTGTGTATTCAATATTTATAAATAATATGTCTCTGCAAACAGACATGAAAATTAGCAATATAAATGTGGAAATTTGATTGCTGAGGTTTTACATGATTAGATTCAATTATAATTGAGATATTTCGGCTCTATTTTCACAAGAATTTCATTACCTTTTAAGTTTTATGTCTGTATTAAAACTGCATGTAATTATGACATTTATATTTCTTGTCATGAATTATTTCCTATGTAGTGCAAATTTCCTAATAAATAAATACATGCCATTATACAATAAACGGAATCCTTTCATGCAAATAATAAATATACAAAGGAAAATAGTGTAAAATAAATGATGTTGATGCATGGAATAACAACATTCTCATTTAATGTGTAGATGGTAATAAACTGCACGATTCTACTGCCAATATAAATGTGATGTGAATGGCAAAATTTTAGGTACCAAGTTTGATGTAAATATCTATTTTTCCTTTGCAAGTAAGAAAATCATTACATATATTACATTTCCAAAGCATTTTTTTAAGAAAAACTTTCCTTTAAGAGAAACTATAATGTTAACATTAGAGAATAACAATGATATATCCAACTGTCATCTCTTCACATGATACATCACAAATTCTTCAAACAAATTAAAATGAGTGCTGTATTATGTTAGCAAGAGAGTCTTGATTGGCCTAAGATCACTCACCTCAGTAAATTCAATTGCATGGGACATAAGGCAGAGCTATTTTGGACCCAAATTGCATAATTTATATATTTATATATATTTTTTTAAACTATGACAATACTGCAGGCTAAATATCTAATCTGTAGGTGATGTAACTTTAACAAAAATAGATTTTAATGTGTCTTTTTTTAAACAAGTATAAGTAAACTAAGGGCAGGATCAATTTTTATTCTAAGGGCATGATTTATATAACATAAGTAGAGAACCATATGGTCATGCTCTATGTAAGTAGAGAACCATATGGTCATGCTCTATGTAAAACATGTACACTCTAAGCATTTTCTTTTTCAATGAGAATAATTATTAATAGAACAGCCCTATAAATGTCTCATTCTTTAACATTATTCTTACTTTGCCGGTACTTTCCATAAAGAAGTTATGAAAATGTCACTTTTTCATTTAAAAAAAAAAAGAAAAAAAAAAGTTTAATTATTAATATATTGATATGATGTTTTAATGTACATATTTATGTTGTTTAAATGTTGATTTTGATTGTTTTTTATGTTGTTTTGTATATACTGGGGCCCGCATGAAAGATCGCGAAACTGAATATGTTAGCCTCATTAAATGAAGTCGTTACTTACTTACTTGCTTACATACATTACGTTACGTACATTATGTATGTACGTACACTTACTTACCTTACTTTACTTTACTTACTTTACTTACCTTACTTTACTTTACTTTACTTTACTTTACTTTACTTACTTTACTTTACTTTACTTACCTTACTTTACTTACCTTACTTTACTTACCTTACTTTACTTTATTTACTTTACTTACTTTACTTTACTTTACTTACTTTATTTATACTTTACTTACTTTACTTTCCTTATTTACTTTACTTACTTTACTTTACTTACTATTTTACTTTACTTTATTTATACTTTACTTACTTTACTTTCCTTATTTACTTACTTACTTATTTACTACTAGAATATTTTTTAATGTCACTTTCATAAACAAGTCAATGCATGAAAAACAATACAAGGGCAGGACGAATTTTAACCAAACTGCTTTGAGAAAACATTATGCACAGGTGAGCTAAAAGGTTCAAAGGAATACTGCAATGAGAAGGA